GGTGCCTGCTGGGTCTTCTGGGCTGTGGCAGACATCCGTCAGCTGGGCCAAAATTTAAAAAAAAATTTTTTTCCTTTATTGATTTCAAAGAGGAAGGAAGAGGGAGAGAGAAAGAAACATCGATGAGAGAGAACATCGATTAGCTGCCCCCTGCAGACCCCCCCTAGGGATTTGGCCCACAACCTGGGCATGTGCCCTGACCGGGAATGAAACCGGCAATCTCTCGGTGCATGGGTCAATCAATGCTCAACAACTGAGCCACACCAGCTGGGGCAAAATGTGTACTTGAAGAGTGACCCAGGGTGTGAGCCTTGGTTTCTCTGTCTGTAAAATGGGTCACTTTGCCCACTCTGCCTCTTTTGTGGGGTGACTGACCCTGCTGATGAGGGAGCTGGAGGGTGATGGTATGTGGGCTGGCACTGCCCTCTGGTGGCTTCAGCTGGAGTTGCTGGGTGCCAGTGCCTGGACTCAGATGGTACCATCAACTGGGAACCTGGAGGGTCCCCTTCATCTCTGTGTGTCTTCTCCATTTCCTTTCCTTCTTCTTTACACCAAACTTCCCGGGGACCTCAGGGCTGCTTTCTCATGAGCAGGGAAAATCCAGTTTAGCAAACAGGTATTGAGCAGGAATTGAATGGCCCTCTACTGTGTGTCCCATTCTGTGCCGGGTGTTGGAGCTCTGGAGCTGTGTAAGACGCTGTGAGGCTGTCCAGGAAGCTGGAGGCTGGAGGCTAGTGGGGACCATTCGGCAGAGCTTCCGCTTCATGAATGAGGGAACGCATGACACTTTCCCAGAGTGGGGGTCCCGTGTGGCTGGAGTGGAGGAGAATGCAGGGGGTGGCAGAGGTGCAGGTGGGTGAGGTGGGACCCTCACACAGGAAGAGGATGAATGTGGCACCAAAACACTGGACTCTCCCTGGCACGGTGACAGTAAAACTATGTCAGATCAGAAGAGGAGAGGCTGACAACTGACTTTCAACTCTTCTTGTGGAGGCTGGGGAGTCATCAATGTGTATCTCTGTGTTACTACTTTAAAAATGACTTTTTATTATGGAAAACTTAAAAAAATACACAAGAGAGGCAGAACAGTATTCTGATTCCCCTGTATCTACCCCTGGACTTCAACACGTATAATGAACTCATGGCCAAACGTGTTTCGTCACAGTTGTCCCTCGCCACTTCGCGCTTCGACGCGCGTGGCTTCACTCTATCAGGGTTTTCCAAATACAGCATAGGACTGGAGAAGACCGCGACAGAGCGAAGTGCGCACATCCGAGCGCGAAGTGGCGAGGGACGACTGTATGTAAAGGATCCTACTTCCCGGATATTCATTTATCGCGGTAGAGTCTGGAACGGATTAACCGCGATAAACAAGGGCTGACTGTACACCCCCATCTGCTTCCCTCTCCTGCGTTATTTTGAAGCAAATCTCAGATATCATTCACATACAAAAGTTCAGTATCTATCTCTAAATGATAAGGGCTCTTTTCAAAAGCGTGGGGACACCGGTAGGTGAGGAGATTAATAAACCGTGGTTCATGCAGATGATGGGATATTATTCAGTGCTAACAAGAAATAAGCCATCGAGCCACGAAAAGATGCGGAAGAACCTTAAATGCATATTACCAAGTGAAGGAATTCCGTCTGAAAAGGTTACATGTTATGTGATTTCCACTATATGACATTCTGCAAACAGCAAAACTATGAGATGGTAAAAAGGTCAGTGGTTGCCAGGGGTTGGGAGGAGGGAGGGATGAATGGATGGAACACAGAATTTTTAGGGCAATGAAGCTAATCTGTATTATACTATAATGCCAGATACATGTCATGATACACTTGTCCAAACCCATAGAATGCACACCACCAAGAGTGAACCCTCGTGTAAAGTATGGACTTAGGATGATAATGAAGTGTCAGTGTGGGGTCACTGGTTATAACACATGTACTGCTCTGGTGTGGGATATTGGTAGTGGGGGAGGCTGTGTAAGGGAGAAGTGGGAAGTCCAGGGGAACTCTATACTTTCTGCTAAATTTTGCTGTGAACCCAACTGCTCTAAAATATAAACTCTATTTAAAAAAAGAATAATATATATGGGCATGCTGACAATGCTCATTAGGTTTATTGTGATGATAGTTTCATAAGTCTCTATTTATATCAAAATATATCAATTGTACAATTAAAAAATGTATAGTTCTATCTCATAAATGTCAGTTGTACCTCAATAAGGCTGTTTAAAAAAAGGGGGGGGGATAAAGTATTGAGATATGCTACAACATGGCTGAACCTCGAAAACATGCTAAGTTATGCTAAGTGAAAGAGGCCAGACACAAAAGACCACATGTTATATAATTCCATTTATAGAAAATGTCTAGAACAGGCAAATCCATAGAGAAAGAAAGTGGATAAGTGGTTACCAGGGTCTAGGAGACAGGGGTCTAAGGTATTTTGTCATGGTGGCCTGAACGAACTAGGACTTGGTACCCAATGTATACAATAGGTACTCGGTCGATATTTGTCAGATGAATAAATGATCCCAGGTAGAAGGAAACATTCTTATCACAATGCTTCACTGGAGAGCCTGATGGACAGGGCTCTTGGACCCTCCTTCCTAGGCTGTGTCTCTTGTCCATGCTGCGTCATGGACACCTGGCCCCCAAGGCACCTTGTCAGCTGTTCCAGGTGTGGACTCTGGGCCCCTGTCCTGGGCTCAGGCTTGGTGGCTGTGGGGAAGGGGCTCCTGGAATTCTTAGGCTAGATAGGAGCCTGAGTGAGAGGATGGACTAGAGATAGACTCACTCGGATGGAGGGTGGGGGAGGAGAGTATGGCACTAGGAGACGATGAGGCCTCAACACTAGGAGGGCTGGAGAGGAGACACCAGAAATACTTAGGAGGTCAATTAAGCCAGACTTGATGACTGATTGGTATTGAAGAGAAGGGAATTGGGGCACCAAGAACCATCCTAAGGTTTTAAAAGAACCAGTGCCACAGCCATCTCTTCTTGGCCTGTAGGTTGCTCCAGTCCAAGGCAGAGAAATAGCCCCTGGGCTCCTCTGTCGCCCACAGTTCATTCAGGATTTATGGCAGACAACTCGGTAGGTATCGGTCTGGTGCTGTGCGCAGCGGGACACGCTCCCTGCGCCCAAGGAGTGCAGATCTGCCTTGGAGACAGACACACTTCGATGACTTCCGGCCATCGGATAAGGGATGCTCCAGGGCGGTGGGGGACGGCGTCGGGGGGGGGGGGGCTCTTCACTGGGAGAGGTCTCCGGGGAAAACGGGTGTTTGCTAGGGTGGAAAGAGGTGGGCAAAGTGAATGCGGGCTGGGGGGGGGGGGGGTAAAGGTCCAAGAAAAGCAATAAGGCGAATTGAGAAAAAAGAAAGAGGGCTGTCGCGTGGCTGGAACACTAATGTGTGAGCGCGAAGATTAGTGTGTGACGCGCCAGACTGGGCAGCGCGTGGAGACCGTCCTGGAGTTTGGGGTGATCTTCCACCCATCAGGGAAAGACACAATGTTGGCCTAACTCACAGGCCAACTCCAGGGAAGGCAGCCGAGACCCCCGCGAGAGTGGAGGGAGAGGGTGCCCCCAGTTAAGAATCTCCGAGTCCCCGAGAAGCCGCTGTGGCTTTGGGCAGAACCATTCTCCAGAGGTGGAGAGAGGAGAAACCCTGCATTCAGGACCAAGCCCACGGAACCAGCTGGAACCTCCGCTCGAGTCTTCCTGCTCTTCTCTTATACTTTCCTCTCTGTTCCGCCACCATTTGTTCGCCCCCGGGCCACCCCCGGGCCTGGGCACAACTAGTTGCTTCCCGACCGCCCCCTCCCGCGTGTGGTCCAGCCCCGCGGGCGCCTGGCCAGGCGCAGGTTATAAAGGCCGAGCTGCAGCAGCCGAGTGCGGACCCAAGATGCGCCGGAAGGATTCTGGGCAGGGATGCGCCGGGGATCTGCCGGGGCCCGGGCCCGGGGATCCCCCAGCGATCATCCCTGCACCCCCTTCCGCAGCCAGTCCTGCTCCAGAGCCCTCCGCGGAGCCTGAACCCGTTTCAGGGCAGGCCCCCGCGGCTGGACAGGAAGCAGGATCCGGATCCCGATCCGTCTCGGGACCCCCAGCCGGAGCTTGCCCGGCCTCTGAGGCTGGATCAGAGGCGGGATCCCAACGACCGTCCTCATTCTCGGCCGTCCAGGGGAATGCCCAGCCTGTGCCCAGCAACTGCGACACGCCGAGGACCCGCTTCATCGTCCCAGGACCTTTTGGTCCCCGGGCCACTGCCCTGGCGACTGGACAGGCAGCATACATCTGGAAGACGCCGGCTGCCCCCAAGCGAGTTGCCTTGATTCGGGAGCTGGAGGAAGGTAAACCAGGTCCCCGGACCCCGAAGCGGATGGAACTAGGGCAGTACCAGGGAGAAAGGGGCGTCGTTGGGTCCAGGCGCTCCGCCCCCTCTGGTACTCAGTCCCACGCCTCCACCCACCCACCCACGCGATGTCACTGCCTGCAGCGCTGTCTGGTTGTCTCTTCCCACCTCCTCTCCCTCTCTCGGTCGCGATTTCCGTGGGTGGATCAGGTTCCGGGGCCCGCGCACCCTCCCCTCCCCTCCCCTCCCCTCTGAGCGCCTGTTGCTGCAGCGGATCTGCGCACTCTCATGCCCACCTACCTTCCCGGTTACCGCAGTGCCAGGAGAGGGGCGGGGGGCTGCGGGAGGTTGCTGCCTGGCGCACTCTGAGCCTGCGCTGGCCGGCAGAGGGGGAGGGTTTGCCAATCTCTTGGCTGCGGGGGGTGAAGGTGCGGCTCTCCCCCACCTCTCCCCAGCCCGGGGGTGGGCGGGGCCTCAGGCAGAATCTGCCCCTGCTTTTCTCTCGCATCCTTCTCTGGGTCTCGGGAGATCTCTGGATTGGGTCTCGGGGATCTCCGGATTGGGTCTCGGGAGATCTCTGGATTGGGTCTCGGGGCATCTCTGGATTGGGTCTCGGGGGATCTCTGGATTGGGTCTAGAGGCTCAGGTTCCCCAGAGAAGTCTCTTTCCCTCTCCTCCACGCGCACGCAACAGGTGCAGGGGTGACTGCGTCTGTTTTTCTGACCCACGAGACTCCAGCGAGCCAGCCAAGGCTGCCCTCCGGGTAGGGGGATGAGTCAGTCTGCTACTGTACTTCCCATAGCTGCTTCCATTCTCCTAGGGCCAGGGACCCAGGCGTCCTGAGAGCCCACTTGAGCCTGGAGGACTGTGATCGCATTACCTCCGTCGGGCCCTTCCAGAAAAAAAAAAAAAAAAAAAGAATCCAGTTGGTCCTGGGAGCAGGGAAGGGAGTACTGAGTACTGGGGGAATGGAGAGGATAATGGGGGCAGGAAGGGAGCTCCGTCTTCTCCCTTGTTGCTAACTAACCCTTGTTGAAGGAGCACTGGGATGGGGCAAGAAACATGGGTGCAGGGTAGCTTATGCCCCCTTTTCCCTGACTCAGTTGTTCCACCTTCTCTTGCAGCATCGCGTCCTGATAGACCCCTGTCAGTCAAGAAGATCACCCAAGAAGATATCAAAGTGATGTTAAATTTGCTAGAGGAGGTGTGCTGCCTTCCCTACCCCTGCTGGCTGCCCAGGCCTTTGCCAGGCTCCTGTTTTAATTCTGTCCTGTAGGGGTGGGAGTCCGGTCTGTTTCCTGTCTCTGGGGGCCAGGCTGGGAGCCCCTCTTGTGAATGGCAAGGTGTTCAGGCTGGAGGAGCTCTCGGAGCCCGCTGGTCTGATCTGCTCTTTTCCCGTAAGGGGAACCTGAGTCGGCCCGCAGGGGGTGAATGGCGGAGTCCCGTCTAGTACTCTGGAGAACTGGAGGATGGGGAGGGTTCCCTAGTGGCCCAGCTTCCCTCTGGCCCTGTGTGCTCCCTAGCTTCTCCCACCTGTCTGGGAGATCCCAGGAACCAGGACTGTATTTCCCACGGATGGGGTCCCTCTGCAGAGAGAGCGGGACCTGAGTGCAGCAGCTCGCATAGGCCAGTCCCTGGTGAAACAGAACAGTGTTCTGGTGGAGAAGAACAGCAAGCTGGAAACCATGCTGGGCGCAGCCAGGGAGGAGGTAACTGGGCAGGGAGGAGGGGTCAGGGGTGTGCCCTCTCAGGCCTACCTCCATCCCCTTGTGCTCGGACCTGCACCTGCCCCTGCCCAGACCCAGCCTGACCCAGGGCTCCTCTCCCTCTGCCAGATTTTACACCTTAGACACCAGGTGTCCTTGCGGGATGACCTCCTTCAGCTCTACTCAGACTCTGATGATGAGGAGGAGGAGGAGGAGGAGGAGAGGGAGGAAGGTGAGGAAGAAGAAGAGGAAGAGGAAGAAGAAAAGGAGCAGCAGCATGATCATCCTCATGAAGCCCCTGAGCAGTGAGTGTCCTGCCTTTGCACCTGCACGAACGCATGTGGACGGGCACTGTACCTGCCAGCAGGGTTGCTGGGGCGGAGACTGCCACACTCACCCTTGGCAGCACCCTGACTCCCATCACTCCCTCCCTAGGACACCTCTGACCCAGCCTGAGCTGCTGCACCACTGCCCACAGCTCAAAGCCCTGCAGGAGCAGCTGAGGCTGCTGGAGGAGGAGAACGCGCAGCTGAGAGAGGAGGTGAGGATGAGGGAAGAGGGCTAGCCTGTGGGCAGGAGGTGTTGACTCCCCTGCCCCTTCCTCTCTCCCTCCCTCCAGGCCTCTCAACTCGATACCCTTGAGGAGGAGGAGCAGATGCTCATTCTGGAATGTGTGGAGCAGTTTTGTACGTGAAGTTGTAACTTGGGGTCGGGCCCGTTTCATGGAGCAGAGGGCAAGCCTCAGGATTCTGAGACCTGAGTTCGAGTCCCAGTTCTGGCACTTCCTAGCTGTGTAAACTTGGACACGTTCCTTGACCTTTCTGAACTTTCATCTTTAGAATGGTTAAAATCTCAGCCCTGCTGACCTCTCCAGGGGTTACAGCTGAGGAAATGCTTTGTGCATCCTGTGAAGGGCTATGCAGAGGCTGTGGTCTCCTCTAAGCCAGTGTCCTTGAGTTATTTGGGGGGAGGAGGGGGAGGCGAATCGGGGAAGTGGGGAGCTGCGAGCCTGCAGAGACACAGAGACCAGGCCCTGAGGCTGAGGCAGGTCCCAGTTCTTCCTCAGACAGTGGCTTTGACAGCACCGTGTGCATACGAAGGTGAATGAGGCAGTTTGTCTCTGAAGAGCTCAAGTCTGGCTGGTGAGGTGCACAATCAAGGTGGCAACAGCTGTACCCCTCACCTCCAACCTCGCCTTTCTTCCCTCGGGTTCCCCACATCCCTAAATGGCCTCACTGGTCCCCAGGCCCCTAGGAACCAGGCCCCACATTCTGGTGCTTCTCCCTCCGAGGAAAGGCTGAAGTCTCTTTCTTCCTCCCTACCCCAGCTGCTTCTAGCCCAGGTCACCTCTTAACTGGTCTTCCTGCTTCCAGTCCTGTCCCCAGAGCCTCTGCACACAGTCCCAATGAGCTTTCTAAACCAAGTTGGACTTTGTCACTCCTCTTCCTAAAACCCCCAAGTAACTTCCCGTTGGCCAAAGGATAAAGCCCAACCTCCCTACCTGGCCTTTGAGACCTGGGTGTCTGCTGCCCGCGGCCTCAGCCGCTCCCTGCCAGTGTCTTGTGCTGGCCTCTGGGCCTCCCCACACCCTTCCTGGGCCACATTGTCCCTCTGCCTGGTGGAGCCCTGTTAGCCCTGTGGACGTCTTTGCTTCAAAGGTTTGGGAGCAGGGCTGGGCTGGGTGCCACAGCTGACCCTGGACGTGTCGTTGACACTTGCTCCATCAGCCAGTAGTGCTCACCATTGTGGTTTCTGTTTCTAGCCGTCTCCCCACCAGACTTGAGCTCAGTGTGGGCTGGGACCAGGCCGTGTTGACTGCTCACCCAATGCCCTGCTCCATGTCAGTCAATACATGTTTATTGGAAAGAAGACCTGAGTTAGGAATGCCACCCTGGCGGACCCAAGGGCACTCTGCAGGAGCTTAGGGTGAGATAGACAGAGGCCTCCGGGAGGACCGAACTGGTCCCTGGAGGCCAGGGGAGCCGGGGGCTGACCTCCCCTCTCCACTCCTCTCCAGCGGAGGCCAGCCAGCAGATGGCTGAGCTGTCGGAAGTGCTGGTGCTCAGGATGGAGAACTATGACCAGCAGCAGAAGGAGGTCACTCAGCTGCGCACCCAGGTCACGAACCTGCAACACCGCTGCCAGCTGGTGCGTCGGGGTGTGTGGGGCTCCCTCCTGGTCTCATGGCCCCAGAGGACCCAAGGCACCTTTTCCCTGCCCCTACCTCCTGGATCTCAGCTCAGCCAGGCCCCAGGTCAGAGACAGTGGGAGGAAATCTCAGAGAGGCCCCCATCCTGCCCCTCATCTCAAGAAAGGGCCCAAAGTGTTCCAGGAATTAGGCCACATGACTCCACCCCCTTATTTGGCGGTACTCCATGTGACTTGCGATTTAAAGGACTCACTGAGGTGCCTGGGGAGACTTGCTGGATGCAGAGGGTGCGTGGCAGTGGGGGGCTTAGGGTGGGGCTCACCCATCTTGGGTTCTTTCAGTATGGAGCTGAGACTGCGAAGTTGCAGCGGCAGCTGGCTTTGGAGAAAGAAATCCAGCTGCAGCTCCAGGACGAGGTGAGGCTCCCCTGGGCTCCGGCCTGGTCCTTAAAAGCCCCGGCCCTGACTCTCCTGAGCGGACCAGCTCCTTGCTGCAGGGATGGATCTGTATTCCTCTGGCCCTCAGTGTCGGGCACTGGGCCTGGCAGGTGCCGTACAGTTGGAGACTGAGTGGAGTGGGATCCAGAGACCTGCCCAGGGTCCCCCTGCATGTCATGTGGGTCTAGAGTCTGGGCCCCTGGGAGGCAGTGTGCTGGGTGTGCCTGGGTCCTAACAGAGCCCCGGGTTCCAGCTGCAGGACCTTTGGGAGAAGTACATGGAGGGCGAGGGCCTGCTACCTGAGGACCGGGAGGACGCGGAGACACGGTACCGGCATGCGCCAGGGACCACGGGCACTGTCACTCACTATACGTACACTGTACCTCTGGTGAGGACCCTCTACCCATGATCTTTTTACCTGTGTCCCCTGTGTCTTAGCCCTGCTGGGTGATTTCTATCCTCAGTCCCTTTCTGTGCCTGGAAGTACGGGTGGGGTTCAGTGGGGGCCCTCTGATAATGTGTCCCCTCCACTGCAGGAGGCAATTCCTGATTTTCAGGAGTCCCTGGCTAAGGAGCTCAGGAAGGCTATGAAGAACATTATCTCAGACCCTATCTTTTTTGTGGAAAGGTAGGCTGCCGGGCCCCCAGACCCTTGCTGAGCCACAGTCTTGCCTTTCTGGTAGTGGGAGAGGTTTGCCCTCCTGTCCGACTTCCTTCCTGGCGATACCCCTGCTCCTGCCTCCTTCCGCCCTTGTTTGCTGTCCAGCCCCTCCCACTCACCGCCCTTTTCTCTCTCCACGAGGTCTGGATCTGGCTTCTTATTTCTCCCTGGGATTTTGTTTGCATGACGGGGCCCCAGGGACTTTGCCATTTTAGCTTGCGTTGCCTTGGGACAGTGATGGCCCTTCTCTCTGTTGAAAGAATTATGAAATGAACTCAGAGGAGGCTTTAAACCTGGGGTAAGCCTGCCAGGGGCTCCCCCACCACCTTCCCTCACCGTTCAGCAGCCAGACAGCCACCCAGGCTGGTTCTGCGACCCTACAGCCCTGCAAGGGCCGCCATCTCTGCTGAGCGGAAAGTTGTCCTGGGCAGGAGCTGCTTCCCTGTACTTCAGTCTTGCCCCGTAGCTGGCCATCTGATTTAAGGCAGCTCCACGTGGAGACCAGAGTCTTCCCTTTACCTGACCAGGGGCTGAGAGACAAATGAGCACTGGTCTAGGAGCTGGGAACACCTGGAACGGAGTTTTGATCCCTTTACTGACTGTGTGTCCTTGGGCAAGTCACTTGACCTGTCTGAGCCTTACTGAAATGGATTTGTTCCTATAGCAGCTGACTGGGGGATGGGTTGTGAAGGTTAAGTAATGACAGGGGGCAGAGGCAGTATTATCCCTGTTTTCTCTGCTGAGCGGCAGGGGGGCGGTGCTAAGGGAAGGTGGAGGCTACGCAGTGTTAGGGACCACCCTTCCTCCCTTCTGGGCTAGGTGTTTGAAGCCTTCAGGCTGGCACCCAGCTCCCCTGCCCTCTGGCTGGGACAGAACTGTGTTGTGGTTCTGGGTATGTGTGTAGACCGGGCGAGGGTAGATTGCTCCCCCGCCCCCATGGCTGGAGAGGTGGGGGGCGTGGGAGGGCGAGGTGGGGGCTCTGGCTGGGGCTGGCTTTCGGGGCTCGGAAAGAGGTTCCCATCTCCCTACCCAGGTATGAGATGCAGAGCGATGAGGACCAGGAGCAAGAAGAGGGGTCTGAGTCTGAGGAGGGATCCCTGCTGGCAGAGGATTTCATGCCTGGGGAGGAGCGGGGCGCCACAGAAGAGGCAGCGCCAGCCGAGGGGGGGGCGACGGAAGAGGCCGAGGAGGCCGAGGCCTGGGAGGAGGTGGAGCCGGAACTGGACGAGGCCGCTCCGACGAATGCGACCTCAGCCCCGGAGGCCAGGAGCTCGGGCCCCTCGAACCTGGACATGAAGTATGTCCTGCAGCAACTGGCCAACTGGCAGGATGCCAATTACCGGCGGCGGCTGAGGCAGAGGATGTTCCAGAAAGGTGAGTGCTCCCATGGGGGCCTCCCTCCAGCCAGCCGAACATGCTGCAGACCGTCAAGCCGATAAGGGGAGGGTAGGTGAGCCCCCCAAGTGCTCACTTACCCCGGCCCAGCCCCACCCAGTGTGCTGATTTGCATGGACTTCGTACATTATTTGCATAGCACCTCAAGCCCCCCTCAGCTGGAACTGTGGCCCCAATGCTCATTGACATGGAATTTGCATAGGATTCCAGATCTCTACCCTCTTTTCTCCTGGGGGATGGGCTGGGGGTCAGGGCCCAGACTGCAGCTCCCCACTGCGCCTCAGCTTCCTGTCTCTGCCCACCCCCTTCCCCTGTCCCCCACCCCGCCTCCCCCATCCCCAAGGCTCCCCGACCCTGCAGCAGTGGCAGCAGCAGGCCAAAACAAACATGGGGGGCGGGATCGAGGAGCAGCAGCCCAGGCTGCGGACCCAGGACTTTCGGAGGCTGGAGGAGGACAGGGCCAACCACCCTCCCATGGCCTGGGAGGAAGAGGGGCCTTCTGGGGCCACCCAGGCCACTGGGACAAAGGGCCGCAGTCGGACCGGTCCCCTGGGTGAGTCTGAAGGTGGGCTAGGGTTTCCTACAGGGTGGTGGGCGGGTCAGGGTCTCCTGTCCCCAGCTAGAAACCCCAGAGGTTGGAGACCTGTGCGTGCTGAGTGCTGGCTGAATGTAGGCTCTGTGAGTCCTGCCTTCAGGGAGCTCACGGAGACACCAGAGATGATTTATCGACACATTACCTTCTTTAATCTTCGCACCCCTGTGGGTAGGAATTATCATCTCCATTTATTGGGTGAAGAAATTGAGGTTCAGAGAGCAAAAGGAACTCACTCAAGGTGACAGAGCTAGAGTGGAGCTGAGCCCGATCTCTTCACTGTTATGCCATCCCTCCCCTTGGACCCTGTCTGGTTGCCTGCCTGGCCTGCTGGGCCAGCCACGACATTCACAACCTGTTGGCAGCCCCGCCATTATTTCCGGCCTGTCCCCACTCAGACGGCCCTTTGCTCACCCCTGGGTGACCTCGTCAGGGTCACCATGTAAGGTTGTACACTGAATGGTGACCTCTGTGGCTGGGCAACCTGCGTTACTATCAGTGGTGGCTTTCTTTTCTGCTGTGGCTGACTGGGCCCCGCCTCTGCCCACGGCCCAGGCTAGGCCTGTGGTCCTCAGGCCCCCAGTTCACATCCACCCCCTTCTCTTCCAGGCTTTGCTGTTTTCCAGCAGCCTGCAGAGGCCCCACAGACAGCCTGAAGCCCCTCCTTCCGCTGCCTGGCCAAGTCCCAACCCCCCCAGACCCTCCTTCCCATCCTCCGAAACAGGACTCCCTGTCTGCTACCAGCCCCCCCTCCGTCCTGATGAACCTGGGCCGTAGTGTCAGGGCCCAAGCCTCGACCCTCTTCTGGGACAGGCTGAAGGAACCCCGGCCCTCCTTCTGCAGCTGGTGTAAAAGCTGTGGCTGCTGGGCCTGGGTCACATGGTGGCCCCAGGGGCGGAAGAAGCCCAGGGGGAGGCCCACTAGCTACCAGACCCAGCTGTGAGCTGGGGGCAGGCTGCCGCCCTGGGAGCAGGCAGTTGTTCTCAGTACCCTCCCAGCAACATGTGCTTCGTTCCTTGCCACCCCCCCAAGTTAAAGATGGCTCCTGAGTCCTTGTTGACTTTTATGGACTCCTGTTCTTGGCCCTTTCTTTTCAGTCCCTAATTCCTGTTTGTAATTGGAGTGTTTCTATGTGTGGGTGAGGAGTCCCTCTGCCCAGTGGTGTGCCTTCCCCTCGCCTCCCTGCCTTGGCCTGTGAGTGTCTAGGCTCCTGCCCAAGGCCTGGCCACTCTCTCCCGCTGTCCTCCCCTCAGTGCCCCTGATTCCTCCTTCCAGATGTTCTCCCGTTTCCCATCCTTTACTCATAAACATCTGGAGTCAAGGGCTCAGGACCCCAACCGGTGCCTGCCCTGCTCCCTGCAGAGCTTCTCAGTCTCCTGTAGCTGGTCAGCCTGTGTGTGTGCTGGTGCAGGAAATAAAGTACCTGTGTGCTACCTGGCCTAGTCTCCAAGCCTCTTTCTCAGGGAGCGTGCGTGTGTGCGTGTGTGCGTGCATGTACGTGCATGTGTGCGTGAATGCACTTTTGTGGGGCAAAGTTGTGGAGAGAGGATGTGCTCTGATATCGATTGATGGGCCAAGAACTTTCAGTAAACACATTACTTAATCATATCAACAACCCCTGTGGGGTGGTGGTTGTCAGATGAAACAGGCCCAGGCAGGTTAAGTGACCCTCCCTCCCAAGGCTCTAACAGCTGGTTGTGGAGCTAGGATTTGAACACGAGCCTTCGGGCATCCAGAGCCCATGCTTGCAGGCTCCTCCTGGATCCTTCCTGCTCCAGGGACTCTGACCCAGTGCTCGGCTGGGAAGGGTGAAGCAGGGGAGAGAGTCACTCATTGTCTTAAGTGGAGGCCCCCCAGAGGCAGACCTGGAACAAGGTTTGAAAACAAGTAGTGTGTTTGGAAGATGATCCCAGGAAGCGCTCTTGGGGGCAGTGGGGACTTGAGAATAGAAGGAAGCTAATAGAAGGGAGTTTTAGGCAACCAAGGCACAGTCCTACTGGGGACTCTGGGAGGTAGTGTGTGTTTTGCAACTCAAAGTGTGGTCCATGGACCAGCATCATTGACATCTCCTGGGAGTTTATCAGAAATACAGAGTCTCAGGTCCCACCCCACACCTATAGAGTGAGAATCTGCATGTTAACATGGTCCGGGGCAATGCACATGCGTGTTCAAGTTGGAGACACCAAAATAAAACCCATCTCAGTTATCCTACCCAAGTGATGGGGAAACTGGGCAACTCTCATTCATCATTGGCTAAGGCTGTTCCTGGGGGCATTAACTCTCTGGCGCTCTGGCCTCCCCATACATGGACTTAGGAAAAGTCCCCTGGCAGAGAGTAACTGTGTGTGTAGCAGAACATGGTCAGCACATGCCAGAATGATGAGCACCAAGGAAATGGGTAGGGTGCCATGTGTCTGCTACAGTCCACCCCTTGTACCAATCAGATGCACTTAAGTTCCACTGTGGAGTTCACTCTGCCTGGCATTGCTTCTTTAAGAGGCGGCTGGTCTGGAGGGCAAATGGAATAAGCTGGGATCCTCACTGTTGCATTCAGTCCTAATGCCCTAAATGCTACTGCTCATCTTTGTCCTCTTCAACTCTTCCCATAGTCCCCTCATCCCTGGCCAGCTGGTCCGGGTTGCCTTCCCGGTGAAATAACATAGACCTTCATTCCTGAGAAGTCTGAACCCTTGGTCACCATGCCCTTGTCATGCCATTGCTGCTGCAACTTCCTGTTTATGGTTCTCACCAGGCAGGAAGCCCCGAGAAGCACCCCAGTGACACCCCATTCCAAACCCTGAACACTCCTTCCTTCTCCCATTGAGGAAGCGATTAGCTCCTCATGCTAATCAGGGCCAATAACCTCTGATAGTGATTGACTTTTCTTTGTTGCTGGTCTAATGGCACAAGGACCCAAAAGTGGCCATGCAGCAGCGGCACCTTAGGGCTTAGGGGACTCGAGTGTATTCGCTGGTGGAAGCGCTCCGCCCAGGAACCAGGGTTTCTAGTCTAGAAGTGTCTAGAATTGAGGGGACAGGAAGCACAGATTCCTGAGGTGGCCCCAGCAGTGATGGTAATAGGGGCCACTTCCACTCTACCCCTTGGTTCCGGGCCTCTGTGTTCTGGGTGTTGGGGACACAGCACTGTGTAATAACCACTGGTTCACAGTATATGCTGCGTCCCAACCCCCAAGGTGCATCCCTGCACTGGTGCCCTAGCTGCACATTTTATTTTAATTAATTACTTTTTTTAAAAAGCTTTTAATTTTGGTGAACTCTGATTTATCAGTTTTTAAAATTGATTTGAGAGAGATAGAGAGAGACATTGATTTGTTCCACTTATTTATGCATTTATTGGTTGCTTCTTGTATGTGCCCTGACCAGGGAACAAACCCACAACCTTGGCGTATTGGGATGATGCTCTAACCAACTGATTAGCCACACATTTTAATCCCGATTTTCTATCAGGCTGCAATTTCTGAGTAACAGGGTATATGGTCGGACAAGAGGATCCTAAGGTCATGTGCTCATTGCTACACCTCTTTCACTATAAAGGAGGTCCCTTGTCTGAGGTCATTTTTTTTTTTTTTTATCCTCACCCAAGGACATTTTCTTCGATATTTTGTTCAAATATCGTGGGAGGGAGGGAGAGAGGAAGGGAGGGAGAGAGAGAGAGAGAAACATTGACGTGAAAGGGACACATTGAGTGGTTGCCACCTGCACGACCCAACCAGGGCTGGAAACAAACTGCAACCAAGGTACGTGCCCTTAGCGGGAATCGAACCCGGATCTCTCTGGACCGCAGGCTGACGCTCTAACCGCTGAGTCAAATTGGCCAGGGCATGTTTTTTATTTTTGAGGGCGAATGCAGTCCTCCACTACCACAAATTACGCAGTTGAGTTTCCCACATTTGGGGAAATCGCAGGGGTCAGCACATCCAGAGTTGAGGTCATGTTTTATGAGATCTTGTGATGGCAAGTCATAAGCTATAAACCTTGGATGCTCCGTAGTTCTGTAGTGCTGGTGGAGGCACTGTGGGCAGGAAGGCGAACTCATACTTAGAACATGTATCAGTCCCCACAAGGATGGTTGAAAGCCCCTTGTAGGATGGAAGGCATCTGGTGTAATAAATTTACCAACAAGTGGCTTGTTGGTCTTGAGGTGTGATCATGCACCAAGGGCTCAGAGTCGGTCTCTGCTGCTGATGTGTCAGGTATTCAGCAGAGGTAGCAGTTAGATTGGCGGTTAGACCCATGCATAACCTCTGTCTCTGCCACCGTTGGCACTGGATTTGTGGGCTCATGGTGCAAGCGTGGAGTGGCCGCAGACCGAGTCTGGCTGACTTCCACTGGGTGAGCCTTCCGGTCCGCCTGATTGGCTGCTCTCAGGTGGGCCTTCATAGGAGACACAGAGATCCACACACCCTGTGCCGTCTCCATAGATCCATCCACTTGCCTCTTCTCCAGAAGTCTTTGTCTCTGATTTTCTGATCTCATTTCCACAAGTCCTCTGACCAATCAGGGGAGCCATCTACCACTGCCCAGAAGTCTGTGTATATCCTTCCCCGGGCCACTCCTCCCTCCACACCAAGTTGATGACCCGGTCTACTACTTGAAACTCCACCTGTTGGGAGAATTGTCCCTCACCGCTGTCTTTGGGGATCACCCCTGTGTGGGCCATAATTCAGCAGCAGTCCATTTTCAGTTTCTGCCAACATGTCCAGCTTACCCATTTGTGAACCAGGCCTGGGCCATTTCTCCTTTATGAGCTGGCCACAAGGAGCCTCCAATAAGGCCATGGCGGTGAACCAAGGGGGGTGAAATAGACACAGGTACCTGGGAGTGTGGGTGACCGAGCAACTCTCAGGCCCAATCTCAAAGGCACCATTTGCATCCTAAACTGAATCTCTGCTTGGCCCACCCAACCTTGTGATGTGGTGGGTCTGAAAATACTCAGCTCTGATGGGCCTCTCTGGTTGCATAGTAACCTGATGTCCAGTGGTCAAGGCTCACTTCCTAGCAGGGCCCAGGAGCAAGCCAGGGCTGGCCTTTTAAATAGTAAGTAATTCTCTTCTGCAGATGTCATGACTTGCTCTGGAACAGGAGTCAGCAAACTATGACCCGTACAGCCTGCAAGTAAAGATCGTTTTTTAATTAAAACAATTTTTTAAAAAATATTTTTTTCTTTATTGATTTTAGAGAGAGAGGAAGGGAGAGGGAGAGAGAAAAATTGATGGGAGAGAACATTGATTGGCCGCCTGCTGCCTGCCCCCAACTGGGGATTTGGCCCACAACCTGGGCCTGTGCCCTGACCAGGAATCGAACCGGAGACCTCTTGGTGCATGGGTCGATGCTCAACCACTGAGCCACACCAGCCGGGCAGTTTTTGGATGTTAAATAATTATATTTTATTATTATTATTATTATTTTTTTTTAAATCCTCATCCGAGGACATTTTTCCATTTTTTGTACAGACAGAATGGGAGGGAGAGAGAGGAAGAGAGAGAGAGGGAAACATCGATGTGAAAGGGATACATCGAGTGGCTGCCACCCGCACGACCAACCAGGGCCGGGGACAAACTGCAACCAAGGTACGTGCCCTTAGCGGGAACCGAACCCGGGCCTCTCCGGACCGCAGGCGGACGCTCTAACCGCTGAGCCAAACCGGCCAGGGCTATTTTATTATTTTTTTAAATATTTTTTTTTTTATCCTTACCCGAGG